CTCGTTACTGAACATAATCATCCGAGAAGGACGTTGTATGTGTGATTTGGTAATGTAAGGTCCCATAATCTTGACATGAGGTCAGAGATAGGCCTTATGTGTGTTAGAAAGAAGAATGATGTGGTAGTCTGGCCTACTGATTAGGGTGTTTGGTTAGCAATCTGAGGGTCGCGGGTTCGAATCCTCGTCACTGAACATAATCATCCGAGAAGGACGTTGTATGTGTGATTTGGTAATGTAAGGTCCCATAATCTTGACATGAGGTCAGAGATAGGCCTTATGTGTGTTAGAAAGAAGAATGATGTGGTAGTCTGGCCTACTGGATTCGAACCCGCGACCCTCAGATTGCTAACCAAACACCCTAATATGTGTTTAAAATTTGGCAAGATGCTCGTGGCTGGTCAGCACCTTCAAATTAAGGATCGAGTTAGTTATGCGTGAGCTTTAGCCGTCCTTGACCTGTCCGTTCAACCCGTGTGTCCAAGGTTCCGTACAGGTTGAAAATACCAATACTAACCCTAAAGAGCAACATACAATTGATTTTTAACGTGTTTTTCTTTTCTTTTTTCTGTAGCCAAAATGTTATACCGTGTGCGTGTAAGATAATTGAAGAATCACTAACTATAGCACGACATTTCGATTTCTGGTTCTGTGCGAGAGATCGATATCAAACATCGAATACAACAAACTACATTAAAGAAAACGTCATTTAAAGTGGAGAACCACATCTAAAATTGCTGGGAAACAAACAGAAATACAATTTGGGAATTTATGTAATTACGCGCATTTTACATTCGCGTATTGTGTTCTAAATAGTAGGGTTTGTCTCCACTCAGAAGCTGTATCGTGTGTCTTCCAACCTTGCGTACAGTGTCACTGAAACTCTCCGCCCCCGTGTCAACAAAAATCAATGTAGAGACGCTCCAAGAACTACTAAAAGTTTCGTTAAAGTTTGCCTGTAACCTATTTAGTGAATGTAGCTAACCTGTGTTTACGGACCTCCAAATGAATTTCCATCTAAAACGCTAATAAGCGGTTACAGCATCAGGGGGATATGCAGAAGTCACCTGTAATACCTAACTTTTCCCAGGTACGTCGATAAGTATCACATTAAAGCAGAGTTCGGGCTGGACCGTAAAAACCAAGGCTCTCTCTGCGTCAAGAATATTTGCTGGAAATGTGTTCAGGTCACGAAACCGGTTCCAGAGCACTGTGAAGTGTACTTTACTAGAATTATCGTATTGGCTTTCTGTGGGTAAGAATAAACACCGGGTGGGCATGGTTCGTGCGGCCGACAGTAACGCTTGTTTCGACCACTAATTGTAATCTGGGAAACATTAACCACGTGGTTAAGTGCATATAACGTACTGTCTACCTACCAGAAAAGTATTAGTTTTATCCTTGTACATTGTACTGATGATTGATTTTTACTCGAAGCTATATAATTATTCATACGTACATATATATGTGTGTGTTCTTTGTGAAACATATATAGATAAGTATGTATGAACGGGTATCAGATAGAAGAATGGATAGATAGTTGAAGTTAGCTATAGTGTTTATATTATAAGTTATTCATTTTTAAATACTTCAGAAAAACTTATAGTTCATAAGTAGATACGTTATAGGTTATGAATAATATTTAATTTTTTCGATTGGTTTGGTTTGTTTTGAATTTCGCGCAAAGCTACACGAGGACTATCTGCGCTAGACGTCCATAATTAAACAGTGTAAGACTAGATGGATAGGAGCTAGTTAACACCACCCACCGCCAACTCTTGGGCTACTCTTTTACCAACGAATAGTGGAGTTGGCTGTCACATTATAACACACCCACGGCTGAAAGGGCGAACATGTTTGGTAGGACGGAGTTATGCGTGAACTTTAGCCGTCCTTGACCTGTCCGTTCAACCCATTAATTTGTTCGTCAACAAAGTATTTCAGACATCATTTCGTTGTGCGTTGTTTTTTCTTAATAAGCTATATTAATTTTAAACTGTCAGTAAGTTATGTATCTATACATATACTTCAAAATCCCGATTGTTTTCTTCATACTAACAATTGAAAAGTGTTCTAAAATTACTTTTCTATGTTTTTGTACATCTCTCATGAGTAATGGAATAGCCATGGCCCTGTGGTTTACGTGCTGGGCTGTGGATCGTAAGATCCATGGTTCAACCAGTGAAA